GAGCGCCGCCCCGCCCCGACCACGCCCCCCGCCGCCGCCGCCGCCACTCGCCGTTCCGCCGCCCGCGAGCGCTAATACGACGGAGAAAACCTCTCGGATATTTAGAATCCTTCGGCTCGCCCCAGCGCGCACAGGCCGCTCTTTATGCACGCCTTCCACGCCGCCGCGGCCGAAATAACCCGGCTCCCCGCCGCCGCTACTACGCGTGCACGCCCGCCACCCTGAGGGCGGATGCGAGGCGGTACGGAGCTGGCGCCAGGCCCTTTCATTCTCTTACTCGCACGCCTCACGCAACCAAAGCACGCAGTTTTTATCTGCTTTTTTCTTCTGCTCTTCAGATTTCTTTCTGGATTCCTGGGAACTCGACATAATCTTCCCCGTTTGCTCCGTTCGTTCCACGAAAGCATACCCGAAAAAATAAGTTTGTAAGAAAGATGGGAACCATTTTGATCAGGATTCGACTTCTTGATTCTGTTTAGGTATTTGTCGTATTTGTATAGACCAGAAAAAACAAATATTTAACTTTATGATTTTCAATTCCCTCCTCCCCCCGAATCTTTAACACTATCCCCAATACCATTTCCCAACACACACTCGAACTACTAAAACGTCAAACACGATACGAAATTACTAAACTTTCGTTAGGAAGAATTGGAGGCATTTCTAATAAGTTGATTTCTTGACTCGGCTTAATTGCTTTTAGCAGCAGAGAGAATGTTGGATTAGTGGATATTATTTTCGCATATATTTTCTGAACACTATACCTAGGACTCAGTATCATTATTTCGCGCCACGAAAACCCTAATTACAAACCTTGATAATTTTTTTTATATTTAAAAAATTGTTTTCTTCATAGTCCATTCGAACCCAACAGTCTAAATGGCTGTGACAGAACCTCAAGATCATTCCGGACTAGTTTTTTCCACGTCCGGCATGTGAAAAGTTGAAGTCTCCAGTTATTGTGACTCGTCGCTTCCCCTGCAGCGCCAGGACTCAAAAGAGAAGCCGTCGGCGGGCGCCGACAGGTGCATGCGGCAGGTGTAGCCATCGCGGCACGAAAGCCCGATGCTCCCCCCGACACCACCACCCCCCGAGCGACTAATGGCCGTGTCGCGTGTCCGCGCCTCTTACGCGCAATAATTGCGGCTGCCCTTCTTTGCGACCGAAGCGAGGCGCGCACATTGAGCTCTCGCTGTGGGGATGTTTCTATGGTTCATTATGGCATTGCTTCAGCCGCTCCCTCATGATGGCTAACTATTATCGGTTTTGCATTCGCGTATAAAAAGCTTGTTAAAGTGTGTGCAATTAAATAAAAGTATATTATACGTGGATATATAAATTACCATGAAACATTAATAATTATTTTAAAATTACTGCGAAATAATCAATATATTTCACCGACACAATTTTAAAAATCATAATTTGATGATAATAACAAATACAAAGTAAACTGTTAGAAAAAAACACCAACATATTTTTTTAACAATTTGCGTACAAGCATACAAGTTATCGAGATGCAAAATAATTCCCGAATGCATGATTTGCACTAACGTTTTTAAAAACCACCACTAACCCCTTGCCCCTTCCACCACTAACCTATATCATTCCCATACACCTACGACATTCTCAGGAAAATATCTGCTTCTGACAAAGGGATAACATCGGATTAAAAAGGATGTTACTGAATTTGTTAGTAATTTTATGTATAACACCATGTCAAGTTTCACAGTACATCCAAAATCCTATGTATAACGCTTTTTAATGGAGCCATCAAAAGCCCACAACTCAAACTACATTTTAAAATCACGCAAGTATACCTAATTGATTCTGAAGGCGCAAATTGCAAATACAAAATAAGTGAAAAAAACAACAACAAAGAACTAATTTGCCTCACCATCACCAACCGATACCATTCCGACGAACACCGATGACATCGCGGAACACCGGGTCTGTTCCGAGGCTCAGCCCCCCAGAGACAGCGAGAAGCGCCGTGTGATCATCGAACTGTTCCGGGAATGAATCCAATATCGGTCCCGATAATATTGAATCTTTTATTCATTTTAGACTCGTACATTCGAATACACAAAACCGTATATCATAACTACTAGGTAATATTGACATTCAGCCAACACATACCCAATGTGGATCTTGCGTGAACAGCTACATTCGATAATTCGAAAAACGTTGCCGTCCCTAGTGCGGATGGCAAACCGGCAGTAATTTAATAAAGATTTCCCCATTGGGTAATGCGGACGGGATGTCCACGTGGGGCCAGCGGGAGGTGGTGCAGGTGACAGGGGAAAACGCCGGCGGCCACGTACTTTTCGCGGAAATTATAGGTGACGGGAGGAGAGCAGAGCGAGCGAGAAGCAGCTGTCTTCTATCTCTTATGCGCCCAGCGCCAACGCCAACGCCGGGCTCGCGCCTCCGCCTTGGCCTCGCTCCTGTGTTTTTAAATCGGCGGCGCGCCCGGCGGCCAAGGCAAATATTGACTTAGGTTGCGCGCACCGGCTGGAACCGCACTAATGCCGTCGGCCGGTCGCGCGCGGCATGCGTCCTGCTGCTGGCCGACGAGGGGCGGCGCGCGTGGCGGCAGCGGCGTGACGCGGCGCGGGAGATACGAGGACCGGACGCTGCGGGCGGGCGACGAAGACAAAAGGCCTGGCGGCGAAGTCGACAGGGCAGGTGACGGGCCGAGACGCGCGCGCGCGGTGTTGAGGATAGCAAAGAAGCCGAGCAGTAAAGCTAGGGCATCAAAGTCGAAAGGGATGCGCGCGAAACGGGAGGCGAGAGAAGAATGCTAGTGCGGGCCTGGAGTGTGATGTGACATGCGGCGGGGTGGGGGAGGCCAAAGACGAGGGAGATTGCGAAAATGAGTGGCGGGTGGTGAATGGGTGCGGCGTGTGATATGGGGAGAGTGAGACACTAGACGAATGTAAGGAATTTGAGGGCGGGAGCTGGAGCGAAGATGCCTGTCGAGTGGGGTTGGGCGAGGGCGGGCGGGCGGGCGGGCAGTTTTCGGACGGACGTGGCGGGCGAGTGGGGAC